CTCGATGACGTCGCTGGGATTCCTTTCAGCAATCGTCTTGACACGCTTAGCCGCCTCCTTCATCTTTGCGTTTCCGGTGCGGTCAAGCAATGCGTTGGCGAAGTTCAGCGCTGTGTTAAGCTGTTTGTTCTTGTGGGCGAAGTTCATGGCTGCAGAAAGTGGGATCGACTTGTGAGGACCCTCAAGCTCGGGAATGGTGAAGTAAGCAGACAGTTCGAGAGCGCGTTTCTTGTCGGCATCAGATAGGGCAGATACGTCGGTAGCACCGTTGAGAAGCTTGCGCCTTTCGAGCTCGATAGACATGGCAAGTATATATTGCGTGGCCGTGTTGATTGCCTTCTTAGCCTAGATGATGTCAGTATACGTCGACTGAATGCACAATGGCAGAACTTACGTCAGACAACTCTGCTTGCGACGAGACGACGTTGACCATGATGAGCTGTAGCAGCTTCCTGAAAGCGGCAATACCTGCCTCCAATTTGTTCTCTTTGAGAGCCTGCTTGCCAGCGGTGAGGTCGGTCGACAATATCGACTCCAGGTCGCGTGGAATGATGGGCAGGATCTTGCGCGAGTCTGTCTCGTCTACTGTTCTCCGTACGTAGTTGACCAGCGAGGGCATGTTTGGTGTAGCTGGCAGGTATGTCCGTGTCGCTTGGTAGATCTCCTGGAAGCGCTCCTGGAGAGGCTCGAAGTTGACAGCACCGACTTGTCGGTTTAGTAACTGCATGGCAGTATCGAACGAACCTGCAGCAATGTGGTCGGCTGCCAAAGGTGAGTTGCGTGCCCAGAAGTCTGCTTCACTGCTTCCGGCGCCTGCTTCAGCACCCTCAACTTCAACGAAATCGTCCTCTGCCTCCACGTCTCCGTCATCGCCCATGTCCCACCCACCAACATCGTCATCTTCGTCGCCTGCAAGCTCAGCCGCGGCACTAGTGGGCTCAGCATCGCCCAGAAGATCTTCGTCGCCGAAGCCGTTCGCTGTTGGCTCATCGGATCCAACGCCCTCGACCTCGCCTTGGAGAGCCTTCTCGAACACAGTCGAAGACGCTGCGCGCGTTGGCCAGTTCGTCTTGTGCGTAGGTACAATAGGCTTGGGAGGCGCAAGAGGTGCACCTATCGAGGGAAGCTTGATCTGCTCTTCTGAAACTCCGGCAGCTTCCAGTATCGACTGTGCTTGCTCGTCAAGACCTTGAGCTTTGGCCGTGGCGTACGCGAGGGGGTACAGGTCAAGCTCCTGGAACATCTCTATCCGGTTCTGAACGTCTCCTAGGTAGAGAGCATTCTGGAATCGTGCCGTCATGTCACCACGGTGCTCTGCAATTTTAGCCATACGCTTCAGTTTGTCCTGGTCTCCAGTGGTGAGGTACAGGAAGGATAGCTTGTCGAAATTGCGCAGTTTTTGGTAAGTCATCTCCACAGTTTGGTGGTTACCATGCGCGAGAGCTTCGTTGCTCAATCGTTGCCAGAGCTTCGGTCGGTCAAGCTGCTTGGCCATCTCGACTGCCACCTCCAGGTTTCCGCACTCGATAGCGAGCTCGAACCGCGTCTGAGGATCTTGCACGAACTGAAGAGCAATCTCGGGATAGCCCTTCTTCTGGAGATAAGAAATGATGCTCTGTCCAACCAAACTGGAAGTCTTGATGATGTTGAGCATCTCATCGTAGTTGCGCTTGACCAGGGCAAGCTTGAATCGGTACTCGGTGGGGTCGATCTGGAGGATCTTCGGTTTCGCAGCACGGTCAAGACAGTACACGTTGCGGCCCTTAACCCTCACCAGATATACTGTCTGCTCGAGCGTGCGTACAATTCCATTGTCGCCGTTCATCAGACTGTACTTGATGTGATTCAGTGTAGAGTAGAGAAGGACACCAGTATCGTCGAAAATTGCGCTCTTGATGCGGATTGTCTCGTGGAGAGTGCTGACTTGCTCCAGGTTCTTTGTCGCGATGGTGACGTTGTGTTTGCTCAGCAATGCGACGTGCAGTCCATCGGACGACCATACGACGTACTTGACGCCATTGACAGAAAGCTCAGCGAGGTTCTTCTTGGCCTGAATGTCGTAGAGTACAACCGAGGTAGGGGTGATCAAGAGCAGATTGCCAGTGCCGCCGAAGTAGATGTCGGTGGTTCCGTGCGGGGGCTTGATGGTCTTGGTAGTCGAGTTGCTGAGATCCTTGATGTCAATCTGTTGGTTCGACTGGTTGAAGACGGCAAATCGGTTCCTAGCCACGAAGACAGCAGAGTTACCGGAGCCCCGCTTAGTATCTGTCGGTTCCACTGCTCCTGATGCGTCGCGTGGAAGGCTGATCAGCTCGTATGTTCCACTGTCGGCTGGAGAGGTGACGAGAATGGAGCGTTCGGCAGGGTTGTAGGACAGCGTTCGTGGAGGTACCCAAGCGCTCCCAAGCTTCTTAAGAGACAGCATCGATGGGGACTCGATGTTCTTCTGGAAGTCATAAGACCGGACATGCTTCTCCTTGGTGATGTAGAAAAGGTTGTTCTGGTAGACGGCGGATGCGGGTCGCTCACGTTCCAGCTTGAATACCATCACACCATTGTCGTGACCGGCAGCGAACAGGTTGATCTCGGGATGCGCCGCGATGACCCAGAAGCGGTCGTTTTCCCGCTTGAAAGACTGGACGGAGGTTCGTCGGTTGAGATCCCATACACGAATTGTCTTGTCCTCTCCAACAGACAGTATCAAATCTTGATGGGGGTGGAACAGACACGCAGACGCGTTCTGGAAGTGCCCTCGGCAGGTATCAACTTCCCATGCCTTTGTCTCTGACATCCTCCACAGCTTCACGAGGCGATCGTCACCAGCGGAAACGATCAATGGTAGTGTAGGGTGGAATGCGACCCAGTTCACACCTCGGTCGTGGCCTTCAAGAACAAACTTGACGACCGCATCCGTGTTCCCAAACATATCCGCCTGGTTTTGGTTCGCGCGTGCCATCTGATCCTCAAAGGACATGGCTTGTGGTGCAGAATGCTTCTTCCGGAGCCCAGAGATATCCCAGACTCGAACCGACTGATCGAGCGAGGCGGAAACGATGAGGTCTTCCTTAGGATGGAATTGCGCGCACATGGTGTAGTGGTTGTGGCCAGTCATGGTACATACTTCGGAGGGTTAGGTGTGTTTCTGCGAGGGTTTGCGATGTGACTTACTCAACGAGCCTGTCAATGTTAGCTTTGTTCCGAATGAGGTAGTTGAAGGTAGCACTTACGGTTCTGCCAATTCCATATACGAATGGTCTCTGTTCCGTGTTAGCCATTGTCCTGCCGACCCACTGCATGCGCTTACGATCGTCGGAGCTGCTCACTATCCACGGGAGCTCGTGGTGGAAGAAGACGGTCCGGACATAGTCCAAGTGGCCATTCAATGTGAAGAGACATCGCCGAGTCTGGTACGACCAGACCTTGATCTTGTAGTCGTCACCGCCAGACACGAACCTGCCCAGTCTTAGTATGTTGTTGGCCATCCTCACTTGTCCGAGGAATGCTCACAATGGCTGCGTCTTGTGGAAGTCGACGCCGCGGACCGGCCCATCGTGTTCTTCGAAGCGGTCTATAAGTGTGCCCATGCGGTAATCCCATAGTTGGATAGTCGACGAGTGTAGCGACACGAGGATCCATGGCCTGAAAGCGGTCAGCGGGGAGGGGAGTACGGCAGAGCAGGTGAAGGTACCTCTTGGGATGGAAGGCAATGCCCTTCGCACGCGAGGACTTGGACTCAAACTGCGCTCAGTTAGCTAGCTATACGGTCGCATGGGCCAGGAGCTGCGTGCCTTGGTCAACATTGAGGGAGAGGAAGACATGGCGGAATTGGAGACGAAGCCGCAGCTTCACTGTCGTCTATGGTGACCTCAATGCAAGAGACAGCAAGCGCGGGGGGATACGGGTATACGGCAAAGAGAAAGAAACACGGTGTTGACTATTATGTTTGGTACTGCTGCCTCCTTGAGCTGCTGTTGCTAATGTTCGATATGCCACGCAACATTCCGATCAACAGCCTAGCTGTCTTGGTCGCTAGCGCGGTTTCCCCACCACAGTCACGTGAGATCTGCCAGACATCGCTCCAACTCCTTCTGAAGGCGTCGGGTCCATGTTTCAATTTCAAGCGAACGTCGAGTTTCCACACTAGCTGCCGCAAGCAGAGCCTCACTCTTTCACGTTGCTTCATCCCAATCTCGCCTCTGCTGCGTGGCTCGGCTCCCCTGGTCTGGCGTCCTGCAACGATGCCCCGCAGAACTCACCAATGCGACTCCGTGTGCCAGCTGGCATCGTAGTGCCAACACTACCTACCCGCCCTGTGCAGGACAATTTTGCTCGCTGACCTCATTGGGCATCCATCCAGCCTGACGCAAGGTAGATTGCCCGAGTCTTTGTTGCGACTAATCGTTCGCGACCACGAGCATCGGAGTCAAGGATGGAAAGCGATGCTGTACATGGAAAGGGCAGCAATGCTGCAGACCCGCTCCGTGGCCGGCCAGCTCATTGCTGAAACGCAGGTGATAATTGGCGACAGCCCGCACACATTTCTCACGCTGCAGGGAATTCATACCTCCTCCAGTACTCTTCTTCTTCTTTTGTGCTCCCATTCGATTACCACTGACGCGTCGCACCCGAACTGACCTGCACTTTGTGGCTTTTACCGATCTGCGAGCTACATTTCCTGCATTGCGGCCTATAGTACTCCAATTCCACCTGCACGATAAGCCAAGGCGTTGCAGGGTTCGCCTTCTCAAAACTCTCCACCTCTCCGCTCGAGCTCGCCGCTCAGATATCCCAGTAAAACACTCCCGGACCACCTCCAGGATGATACAGTCGACGCAACTCCTCTTCCGTATTTCAAAGATTAGACACGTCTGTCGGACTTTGATTCCTTAAGAAATCAGCATAATCACGAGAGGAGATCATCGATACGTACGCGATCGCAATTGGCTGCAAGCAAGCCTGACGCAACATTCCCGTCAAACCACCACGACGCCCTCCTGACAATGGCAATGCCTCACGAACCGCCAGCCGCCGCGCTCAACGGCCATCTGCAATCACCGCCCATGACGCCCACTCCTGATACACATAGTCGCTTCCCACTCCCTACATACAAAACCTCTCCGGTCCACAGGCGCACCAGCAACTTCGTGCAGACACCTCCATTGGAGTACATCGAACCGACCGGACACGACTATCACTTCAGCTTCACCCGGCCACAGTCATGCGAGCCATCTTCTCGTCTATCGTCAGAGTCTGACCGTGCTTACCCAGCAACAACTCTGGAAGGATCTGACACTGATAGCGAATTTGACGAGGACAACGAGTCGGATGAAGAATGTGAACAAGAAGATGAAAGGCCAATGCGCCGGACAGAGAGTGCCCAGTTTGTACTCGAAGAACTGGATGACGATCCAGGCTACGACTGTGACGTAGAGGTTGTACGACCAGACCATTTCGAAGACGCAAAAAGCGATCGAAGCGGCACAAAAGCAGAAATATTCGCGAGAATGAATGAGTTGCAACTCCAAGAAGATTCCTCAGATGACGAGGAAAGGGAGCGCATATATCTCAAAAAGAAGAAACGATGGAGTGCAGGCATCTTCAAGCGCAGCCACAGCCAGAGCGTCGAAGGAGACAGCGACTACTCCGATAACGACCCTCTCGACGACTTGGACCAGAACGCTCGCCGCCTGCGACGCCGCGTTCGCGGGCCTAGAAGGGGCTCACTCATCTTCGAAGATAGGGGCGTTTCAAATACCAATAATATCGCGGAAGTTGAAGAACCCGATGAAGGGACAACGGTGCCACACTGGAAGGGTCCGCCGTCCATTCCTAGTGATGATGGCTTTACGCTGGATGAACTCCCGTTCTGGAAGGAGCAGAATATGATGGATGTCGAGTCTGAGTCCGAACAGGTGTCAGAATCACGATTTACGTAACTAGAGCCCATTTTGACGACCTTATGTTGTTCTTTCCTTGGTTTGAGGGTGTTTGTGAGCGACAACCTTGGTGTCAATTGTGAATTTAGCGTAGCGTATGATTTTTTGAATGCATCTACTTTTGCTTGCACATTGCTCAGCGTCCGACATAACGTATGACAAATCTACATGCATTGCGAAATTTGATTGCTCTTTTGACTAGCGTTCGTTCTCGTTTGTTTGTTCTTAGAGATGGTTTGGCATTGCGAGTCAGTCTGGGGCTAATTTTAGACAGCCTCAAGTAAACTGAAGGCCCACCAGGCGTCAAGCGGAAGCTGACGACCACTCGCACGCGACCAACTTCACGCACCGCCGACTGCCAGGCAACGCGCTCTGTCAAAGGACGCGGATAGTCACACTTCCGTCCTTGATGCTCAGGCGCATACCTAGGTACTCTTTCAGTGACAGAGTGTTGCTCATACTGCGCAAGGTCGTCAGCCTCATTAATTTGGGATTCACGCACAGATTCAGCAAGCATCATCACTGCTTCGCACGCTCAGCTTCATTTCCAAGTGTTTCAGTTTCATCAGCATATACAAGAGCAGGAAGTAATTTCCCCCTCTTGTACTGTCTTTTCGCACGCGCAGCGCTCAGAATACACCGCCCCTAGAAGGCCCACGCCCCGTCAGCGCTCCCGCTGTCAGGCTGACAGGCCGAAAAACGTAGTCGAACCAATTTTGGATCCCAACCAATGGATATTTTTGACCCCGCGATGTCTAAGCATACCAGCTCCCTCTCCGGATTAAGCACACTATGAGTCGGCACGCAACAACACCGTGCTGTACAGCCATCCTGCTGTCGACGGATCTGAGGCTTCCGTTCAGGAAAGCTGATCGTGCCAGTAAGACAGACAACAATCATGTAGGTATAAGTAAGGCATCGTAGGCCACCAGTGAAAGAATCATCTCCTTACTCACAACCAAGAAACCATACTACAGTCTCATCTTTTCCTCTCTATTTTCCACTGTCTCCTTGTTTCCTTTCTGTTTATTCAAGCCTTCGCTTCTTAATCAGTAATCATGTTCACCATCACCAAAGTCATCGTCGCTTCGCTCGCTCTCGGTGCCGTCCAGGCCCTTCCCCAGCGTCTTGGGGCAAGGCAAGATATGGTCGCTAGTGCCAGCTCTGCTGCCCCAGCAGCAGCCTCTTCGCCGGCTGTCAACTTTGGTGCCCTCCTGACAGCCCCTACCGCTGTCAAGCGTTTCCAGCAGCTCCTGACTACAGGACCACCGGACAACGCAGAGCTCCTCACTGGAAAGGATCTCCGCAAGGCGACTGTCTTCACGTTCAGCAACACTACTACGCCGCCCAAGGGCTCAACCGGTGGTGTTGCGGTTCAAGCTGTAAGTTTAATACTGCCTCAAGTACCATGACCTATACCAATTCTTGCTTCAGAACATCGAGAAATTCCCCATCCTTACCGGCCTTGGTATCAGCACCACTGTCGGCTTCCTCAAGCCCTGCGGAATCAACTCTCCTCACGTGCATCCACGGGCCACGGAGTTCCTTACCCTCGTCGAAGGTGACAACCTTGAGTTTGGTTACGTCCTAGAGAATGCTATTGTTGGACCCATGAAGAACCCAGAAGTCGCAGGCTACCTCCACAAGTTCGACGGCACTGTCTTCCCCCAAGGCTCCATCCACTACCAGTTCAACAACAACTGCGAAGATGCGACTTTCGTGGCAACTCTCAACTCTGAGGACCCAGGTACCAGTCAAATTGCGCAGAACTTCTTTGCCCTTAACCCTCAAGTGGTTGACGCTACCCTGAACGCCACTGTAAGCTCTACACATGCAATATACTACAGCTAAAGCTAACACACGCCACAGCAAATCAACGGCAAGGACATCGACAAGTTCGCCAAGACCCTTCCGGCAAACCTCGTCCAGGACGTCAAGGTCTGCTTGGCCAAGTGCGGGTACTAAACTGGCCGAGGCATACACTACTTAGCTGAGAGAAACTTAACGGATGGTGATATGAGAGCATGGCAGCATTAATTCAACGTACATAGCGACGGCGCGATTTAGATTCTTTGAGTGATTGGTGGTATTGGTTACTGGTTTTACTTCTTTGTGGATTCACCTTAGATCTTGTCTACTTCTTGTCTATACACTCCTTTAAATATGCGAACAGAAAACACTTGTTTACCGAAAATGACTCCTCTTGCGATGCTTAGTCGTCTAATTCATTGTTGTGCCTAAGCTTGCCATTAGCTTGGACAGAAGATTTGTACTCACGCTATGCCAGTTCTGCATTCCACTTCCCCTACGCTGTGTTTACTTTGATCTAAGCTCCGAGGAAGATTATGCTCGCATAGCAGAGAAAATGGGTAAATCTGAGGATCTTCCTTCTACATAGGTATCTTCTATGCTAATGCAGGAGAAGGATACTACTGGAGTGGGACAAAAGTTTGTGGGCATGACTATGTTTGAGATCTCAAATGCAAGAACCAAGAATGAGACAGACCGGTTCTGGCAAGAAGCTATTAAGCCAGGCCGGAAGCCATGGTGACGACTATTCTATTCACATTTCTTATTCATGGTGTGAGTCAAGCCTTTCGTGTTAGGCGTCGAGGTCGGCGAACTACGTAGGTAGTGAAGCCAGCGTGTTGTATAACCCTCACTGCTTCCTGCCGTTGAGGAGCGTTTCAGAACAAGATCTTCTCAGTGATAGTCCGTGGATAAAGCCCACCCTCTTCCCTCGTCACATAATAACAAAGCTTTCTGATCCAGTATCTCTTTAGGAATGCGCCCCCCATCATCCATTCCTCCCACCTCATCGTTGGCCATGTCCAGCCTCAACAGCAAGGGAACAATAGGATTAGCCTTCCATGCATAGGTCTTACAGAGGGCAGTCTGCCAGATTGTAGCCAAGAAATGCAGAATACCGATGATAAGCATAGCACTGGGATACAAGATCCAGGCCCAACGCACTTTCACAAACGACTTAGTCATCGTTGCATGTCCGGCGTATTTAAGTCCGGATCCTTCGGGATCAGCCACAGTAGCGTTATCGCGGATAACAGTGGTGATCCCAGATGCTACAGTGTCTATCCAGGAAGATAAGTTGTGCCGAGATTGCCAGATGCTTTGCGTGCCGTCGGAGGTGTACATGTAGGCAGCCCAATGCCCATTCCAAGCCACTGAGCCACTGACCAGGTTCTTGAACGCTAAGCTAATCGCTTGCGCGTTTGCATAGCTCACGCTGTAAACAGCATCGGAATCGATGGCTGGATCGGAGATATCTGTGAAGTTTCGTACAGATATCATATCTGCATTACCTGGACTTAATGTAAAGTTTAGCTCATAAGGCGTTGCTGTGCTCCATTCGCTTTTCGTGAAGACCTCTTCAATGCCGTTTTGAATTGAGACTTTGTATGTCTGCACGCAAAACCAGAGGTCGCATTGCGTTGCCACTAAACCATCCCCTGGATTCATTTCCTTTAGCTCCGTCTGTATTGTACTGAAATGGCCAGCATATATCTTCCCCTTCTGTGCAGCGGAGAGATGCTCTTGATTGTACACATCTGCTGTCGTTGCGGATATGTTGAAAAGATTCAGGTCAACATGGGCGAGCTCCTCCGTAGACGTACCAGGCTTGGGTCCCTGTAGGGTGGTACCATCGGGGAGAGAGTATGTACACCAATACGCAGTATCGCTGCAATTCTTATGCAGATCTGTCGTGATGTCGACACATTGTCCGCACATGGCCAGACTTGGGATAATGGGCCATGTACAATTGCCGGTGGAGCACAGAGGCGCTGGTAAGGAGGTGCTCAAACCCATAACACCGTTTGATATCGCAGCTTTCATTTGAAACGGGACATCAAATGCGAACCAGTTCGGAATGCTGACGGAGTACGTAGGGCCATAAACCTCGCTTCTCGGGACTCCTCCCACCACTCTGGTTGAATGGGGGTCTTCCCGGAACTCATATCCCAGAACGTTCTGCGCAAATGTGTCGAAAGCGAGAGCTAAAACGACAACTAATGCACCAAAAGATGCGATTTGTTGGAAGTTGGTGATGACGAGTAGACGAAGGCTACCTATGGCCCCTCTTGAAGCGTCATCAAACGTTTTGAGGTCTTTCAGTTGTCGTGCCTTGCCCGCCCGCTGTGAGAACCACGTCCATTTATTCTGACTGATCGATATGGTGACAGCAGCGAGTAGCGAGGTGCGAGCAATGGTAGCAATTGCGGCGACGATCGTATTTCGTGTAACATGTTTGTATCTCCAATCTTCTTGTGGCTTACCATCAAATTCTCGCAACGCGATGACGAGTCCTGCAAAGCTAGATACTGAGACTAGCACTGCAAGAACCTCGTAGGACCATCCTCTCAACTGGTGGATAAGACTGCGATCTGTAGGCTGGTTCTCGTGGAAAAGTTTCGTTTCCTCAGTGGAAACCATCGTTCTTTCTTCTGACTTGTGATGCATGACTTTATATGAAGCTAGGATTTCCAATCTCAAATTCATGGACCACCACCTATATATACGCAGAAGGATGCAGAGGTGGGGGCGGGGGCGAGAAGAAGGACCATTGCGCAGCCCCTTCCTGAACCGATCCTGAAGCCTGACTGCATCTCCTTCCACCTAGTATGTTCGCCTTTCTATCCGGAGGCACTGGCTGTTACCAATAGGAAAAGAATATCCAGGTAGTACTGGTATTATGATTCGATGGTGACGGCTTTCCGTGCGCGCGAGACATGTAATCTGTTATCCTTGACAGTATCTATGGCATACTGTACCAACAGCTACATACTGTGGCTGCAAAGCGATACACTGAGGACACGCTGACCACTCTTATCTAGTCGTCGGCGCCCCGGTGGGGTGCGTAAGTATTGGTGGCGGCGTCGACTCCCTATTCGCTGTTCACCCCACCATCTTAACCATAGGCCCCTCTGCGACCCTCATGGTCCCGGGTTTGTCCACCACCGCTAGCTGTATGTCTCCCACCGTTACTGGATACCTCGTCGCTCCTATCGGCTGTGGCATCGCCGTCCCAGTCGGTACGGTGCGCCCTACCCGACTTCACTGGCGCCGCTTCCGGCTTCAAGGGCAGTGGTGCGTTGGCTGGTGTTCATACTATCGCTTCTCTCCTTTTGTATATATGAAGGTGGAGAGAGCTTGATAAGGAATGGTTGTGGAGAAGTAGTGGTATTGTAGATACCCTGAGCTAGGTTCTTAACCACCTCTCGGAGATGCACTTTGAGCTGCACTGCTGTATCCTTGTTTTGCATGCTCTCTTGTTATTGATATTCGGACTATCAATGTGCCATTAATATACTGCAGTGAGTTTGCGGATGATATCACTTAGCTTTATCTACATAGCCTTCATCACGAGTTTGTCGTCAGAAATCTTTCTGCTGGCGCCTCCCCAGTGATCAAATACCTGCCAACTAGGTCGCTTGTTTCTCCACCCAGAGGCACATTTCTATGGCCATCGCCATTGCGGACTATCAGGACTGCGTTCTCAATCTCTTCTAGCATGCCTATCGCCCAAGGCAGGCCCGTTGAAGAACCCCCAGTGGTACTTGTCATGTGTACAGTCGTATTAGACTTGACGTTTAGCTTCCTAGGCGGATTTTTGACCACAGCCGGCCAACCTATGCATGCGTGCTGCGCTCTCCATCTACGATCTGCGCCTCGGACGAAAGGGGTGTATGCAGTCGCCATTGCGAATTTCGCTTTTATGTCTAATAACGACTTACAACAGTTCCAATCTAAGCATTGGGTTGCCTGGCGAGAGAAGACTTCGGGCTTTGAGTACGGCGTTGATAGAGTGGATGCATCGCCATGTAAGGCATCGAACAGAGTCGAGGCAAGCAGCTGCCATGAAACACCCAGACCGACACCTGCTCCTGGGAAACTGAGAAAGCCTTGAGAGTTGAAAAGTATTTCCTCGGCATTCACATCTGTGAGACAGTCGGTACCATTCACCTTTGTTTATTCTGTTGCCTGATCATGACGTACACAAAGCATATTGAGCGGCTGCACTTGTCGCTGGGCGCAGTGGTTGATCAAGGGAGTAGCTGAATCTCTGAGGTGGTGGCGTTTACGCGCTGCGCCATCTTGAGATTTGCTCTTCCCTAGGCTGATGACCAGGCTGTAGTGTTACATTTCGGAAGCGCTGTGACGTCACTAACAAGCGCTAGCTCCTGGCTATGAGATGCATAATATCACTTAGACTATCTTTTCAGCTTTAGCCACACGGTGTCTTTGTCCTTCTCATTCACTTGCTTGATACCCTTTGTTGGCCACCATTCCGTGGTAAGAAGAAGATTGTGATTTATGAACCCGTGATGGCTGAGCTCCAGCAACCACTATCTCACACAAATGCATTTCGACAGGCTTGGGCATCGAGCACTGCCGATGGCAATCTTACCTTACATGGATTCCGACGCTTCAAAACGACACATCTACTGAACTTGCGCTTGCTTGAGACTGAGATCGCTGAGATGGACCATACTGTTTACCAAGCTGGCCTGAGCCTAGATCTAAGTCCGTCACCAGCCGATCGTCTTGGTCTCAAGCACAGTATCAGGGACGCCAGTACCCCGAAAGTTGAAGAGGTCATCACGCACGAATTCATCATAAAACTGCGTGACCTCATCAAACAATACGGTTCGTGCCAATCTCTTCTGAGCAAAGAGAGTCTACTAAGGGATAGACAGACGACGCGCTCGCTGCCTTCAATAACATCATGAACATGGAAACCTTCTCGCAGCTTGATGATGAGAAGCAGTCCAGCCTGAGGGATGATATAAGTCTTTACGAGATTTACAAGACTAGACTGCTCCGGGTAGACCTTGGATCCCGAACTCGAACTGATCCGTTCCAACGCTGGCTTCATCAATATCTGCGAGCCTTTCGTTACTGGAGGTTGTCAAGAAAGTCCAAAGGCAACCCCGAAAGTCACAACTCATTTTCTTCTCGGAAACGACATCCGTGGTCGACTCAGAACACGATCATGATAGCCGAGATCATTGGGCGCGTCACCACAGCAGCCTTAATTGCCATATTCCTTATCGCTCCTCTGGCTATCTTGTCACACGAATCATCGAAAACCATTCAGCTCGTTGTCATTTCAGTCTGCATCATTCTGCTAGCCTTCTTGGTATCGCTTTTCCTCAAGGTCTCTAGCTTTGAGATGATGGCAGTGGTAGCTGCCTATGCTGCGGTACTTTCGGTATTTGTCTCCAACGTCCCAGTTCAAGGTTGAGCGATCGTTATGGAGGAACGTACCATGAATACTGCAGACATTTTTCGTCAGTAGCAAAGAAGCCGCGCACTCATGAAGCCATCCGAAAAGAAGATGCAGCAACCCGCTTGGGACATAGTATTTTGACAGTCGAGTCCGCTTGGAACCTACACATCTGCATCTTTCCCGACAGCAAACTAAGAGAATTATCCGTGGCCAGTAAGAATGCAGGCAAAATCCATTTTCGCTTTAGATCATGATGCAACTGTACAGTAAAAAGCACCGGGTGTTGCTGCATGCGCTAGTCATTACAACATGCTATTTGGCCGGGGATAGCACTCACCGGTTGAAGAGCCACAGCGCTTACAAGGTACCATACGCAGTCCTGGTCGAAACACAGCCTGGTCTCTGCGACCTATCGCGTCTCCCGGATATAGGTCGTGCAGTTGGGCGTTTTCCAGACCTGCCATCACTATGATCCAATCAATGCATGTGGCTAGCCCCTGCCTCTGTTGCTCACAACATTGTACGTTGACTAAGTAGCTTATCACCGAGTTAAGGTTGCGTCCTATTCTGCTGTCTGGATTCCCATCTCGACTCTTGCTACTTCCGCATTACTGTGGTTCCAGTACTTTCCTAAAAGCACGATCTGAAAAGTCGTATGATGGAGTCGTCGTTGAACATTATCCGTCTCTGATGCAAGGGTAATATCTACTAGGCGTACTTGTGGTGGCAAAGCGATCGGGGGAGAGGGTCGGCCAGGATATTGTCAGCTTAAGGCAACCGCAAGGCAAAAGTATGGCAAACACATCGCGCCCACTTGGGAAGGTGCTCACTTCAACATGCTGCCACAATTCTCAGCCTTTCAGGAGCTGGCCAATTGCGCCACCAAGTTATGCATCCTCAGCTGAGCCATATTTCGTTAATTGAAACGGAGTGGCTACGCGTTTTGGCGAATCGATACCTGGCAAGTCGGCAGCTCATACTCCTATGTTGCCGCAAATGCGCACAGTCCCCTGCTCAACCTGGGAGAGACATCGACGACATGTATGCGTGAGGGCCGGGTTCCAATACGCTAGTGGTCTGCTGTGTGGTCTACTTAATGAACATTAGCCGCTATCTTTTGTAACTGACATCGATCCACATTTCAACTTCCCAAGGCTGCACTGAGGGTTACCTTGATACTAGAAAGAAGTTCGACCTCGGGTCACCATACCCATCAGCAACATCCAAATCATCGTTTTATACCGATTCTTGACAATTCTACTCCCTGTCCCATCAAAACATGCTTCGGAAAAAGTTGCAAAGGGAGGATTATCATGTGGCCTGGATTTCACCTGTGTCGAATCTGGAAATGCTACCATCTTGCCTTATGCTAGACGAAGATCACGATACCCCGGACTATGATTCCTCTTACGACGATAATGTCTACACCTTTGGCTCTGTCGCTGGTCACAATGTAGTAATAGCAACATGTCCACCTGGGCTTACCGGCAATGTCAATGCTGGCCGTGTTACTGGAGCCATGTTCAAGACATTCTCGAGCCTCAGAATGGCCATCTTAGTCGGTATCGGCGGCGGCGTTCCCGAAATCACACATTCGCAAGATCCCATGGAAAACCTGCATCTCGGCGATGTGGTAGTCGGCTGGCCTGCCGATGGTGGCGATGCATGTGTAGCGTACGACGCTGGCAGGTGGCACACGGATGGACACTTCGAAGTACTAGGAACGATCAATAGGCCAGACAGAGTGCTTCTCAATGCCCTGGGAAAGCTTATGCTCGATCACCAGATGGGAAAGACCACTTTCCACGAACATCGAGACAGATTGGTCAACTCCAAGCATAGGCGAAAATTCGCCTTCCCGGGCCTGGAGAAAGACCAGCTCTATCAAGCAAACTACAAACACAGCGGCGTATATGGGGATGGTTGTAAAGATTGTGAGCATTCCAAGGTCGTCAGCCGACCGTTACGAACAGAAGAAGACGTACAGGAATTCGTCTTCCACCAGGGAAGAATTGCAACTGGGAACGCAGTAGTTCAGGATGGCGAATACCGGGACGAGATCAGTAGGAGATGCGGTAAGAGCGTCCTGTGTATCGAGATGGAGGCAGCGGGCGTGGACGCAAGCCGAGCAGCTCTGGTTATTCGAGGTATATCGGACTACAGTGACTCCCACAAGGGCGATGCTTGGCGATCATACGCAGCAGGGAACGCCGCAATCTTTGCACGAGAACTTCTAAGTAAGATTACGCCTGCTACGGTTCAGAAGATGGAGATTCAAGGTTAGTCTGTCACGTCTACCCCGGGGCCTATGGAGGTTTTGCAGTTGTTTGTGTATTTCTAATGAAAGTGCTTTTTTGTAACCCTACTCACGCAAGCTACAGATAGTAAAGCAGAGCAAGAAAAGGTACTTCGTTGGTTTATTGACTGTAGCTCTGAAGATCAACATCGTGACATCCGCAAGAAGCAACCTCTGGAAGACACTACAGCCGAGTGGTTTTATCAATCCGATGAAGCTGCCTCAGTGACATTCCGTAGTTGGCGGGATCAAGCTCCTGTCTCTACCCATGATCGTCTGCTGTGGGCCTACGGACACCCCGCTGCCGGCAAGACTGTTGTTGTCTCGCAGGTAATCGAGCACCTACGCAAACACTTCTGCTCGCCATCTCAACCTCATCCGCGGCGTACTGGAATCGCGTATTCGTACATTAGTATGCTGAATAAATACAGTACAGTCGAAAAATCCTTCACTCCGGAGCTTCTGATTCTTTCGCTCACCAGAGCCCTGCTAGAACAGCTCCCCAACGTACCAGCGTCTTCGAAGCAGTTCTTTGAGGCAAACAGATTACGTATGTCAAGGCTCCTAGACAGCTCACAAGTTGTTGGCCATCTGAAAGATCTGTGCAAGCTGATGTTCGACGATGTTTACGTCATTGTCGACGGACTGGATGAGATGGGCGAGAAAGAAATGCACCGCACGATCGAGTACTTGAAAGATCTGCCACCCAACATCAAGATCATGTTTGTCTCAAGGTACATGGACGCGATACGAGACGCTATCGGAACCTCTTTCAGTCTACATATCCGAGCGCACGAGCATGATGTAAAACTGTACTTCGCCAAGGAAGTGGAAGAGAACAGCACCTTTGCCGCCCTGCTCAAAGAAGCAGAGCGGGCCAAGCCTGGACAGAGATCTATCACTGAGAAGGCTCTTGTTCGACAGGCGATGTTCTCGTAGGACGTCTAGTCTTGCTCTGTTTGCAACGCGTGCTAACTCGTGATCAGTTTTGCCGCTGCTAAGCTTTGTATGGAAATGTTACTGAGGGTCCGTACGCCTTACGAGCTCCAACAGACCGTAGATGATCTACCGCCACCGCATGAGATGTACCAAAATATTTTCAGACGCATTAAATCCAGATGGGATGGTTCGGACCGCGACTGGACCAAGAAAATCCTAACCTGGGTGTGCTTCGCAAGATGGACGCTTTCGCCATGGCAGCTCCTCTACATAATCGGCCTCGACTTCCAACATCCAAACCTCAATCACACAAATCTTCTTGCACCGGAGTCGCTTTTGACATCCCTGTGTGATGGGCTAGTCTTAGTGGATGAAGCGACGCAAAAGGTCTCCATTTTTCACCTCGATGTTTTGCAATTCTTCCAAAGCAACGAACAGACTTACTTTCCTGATGCACACCACGACATTGCTGAGATGTGTGTGGCGCACATCAAGGCGGCATCGGCATTGGGTTTAGGCATCAAACAGCACCCCCTCCGGGGTTTCACGATTGATGCCATCAGATATCTGGGATATCACGTCAGGACCTACATGGCTCACGCTGAGCCTGATCTAGGACATCCAGTGCGGAGGTTGACATCCCAAAGCCTCACATCTTCTGAAGATAGCGGCTTTTCGAGAGACTTACAACGAAACACCATGTCCACCAAGAGTGCGGATCTTTGCGACAAGCTGGCTTCTTTGCTAAACGATGAACGATGCCTTCTTCTGCTAAATGTAATCATGGTACAGCATCGTCTGCACTCTGAGGAAGAGATGTTCGCTGGCGACGGTGCTACAAAGCTTCATGTTGCGGCTGCTATGGGTTTCTTGGATACTACACAGCGCTTAGCTGTAGACAGTCAGCTTCTTTCTGTCGAGGACAATTTCGGAAGAACAGCTCTGAATGTGGCGATTGAATGGAAGCACAGTGATGTCGCAGAAAGTCTCGTCAAGTTGGGTTCACAAGTCGAAATTGAGAAGCCCTCTGGACAGACCATCTTTGCAATGATTGTCAGTCAAGGGAACATCAAACTTGCGCTTGATCTCCTAAAAGCTGCAGAAACTCCTCACAAACACCGAAATCCGTTCAGGTCACGATCACATACCAACGACCCGGTATCGTTGCTGTCAGCAACTCTCAATAATGACGAGGGTGAGGTGCAGAGATTAATCTCCGACGCTGAATTACGAAGGTCACACGCTGCAGAAACATCTCTTTTAGTCGCTGCGGATAGAGGGCATCAGAAAATTCTCGAGATTCTGTTGAATGGGGATGTCTCGGTTGACACGAGCGACATTCAAGACCGCACTGCGTTACACCGCGCCGCTTGTCGCAACGACGTCAATATGGTCAATACTTTGATCCGCCATGGTGCCGATGTCAATGCGATAGACAAAGCAGGCTACACTCCTTGGACCAGCATTCTGTTCCTACCCGATCACGATGAGGTCGAAAAGATCCTGGTTTCTTGCAGCGCCAACGTCAATGCCTCGGATTACGCTGGGGTATCAGTCCTCTACACAGCCGCCTCCGGTGGCCATGTTGCCGTCGTAAACAAGTTGATTGAAGCTGGGGTCGATCCGACTCCGAGAACAGTATTTGGTTGGACACCACTCGTGAGTAATTCCTATCATCAGTTGTCAGGAGCACTAGAAGCCGACTAATACATGACCAACAGCATTGGTGCCCATCCTTTGACATTGTCAGCACTCTCATCGAAGCCGGTGCCGACGTAAACGCAATTTCAGACACTACCATCACGCCACTGGAAAGGGCTGTCCAGGGCTCGGAACACAAGGAGCACATGCGACTCGGGTTGTTCAAATACAAAGCGATGCCCTCGGCAAAATCCTTGGACATGACACCTGAACACCCTGGGGGGCAATGTGCTGCTTGCAATATGTCCATTGATGCCAACGAAATATGTTTTTCTTGTAGCTCATGCGATTCACACAACGGCATCGTGCTCTGCTGCGTATGTTTTCTATGCGACAGCTGGTGTGGCGATACGACTCATCGCTTGACCTCTTCCTGGGTGCATCCAAATGGCTGTGCTGAAGATGTGCAGATCGATCTGCTGGAGCGTGACGCTTTGAAACAAGGTAGCATTGTAGCTTTACTCAGAAGTCGCGGAGCAATGATGTCGGAGGAAGTACGTCGCCACTACGAGAGCAAGCTCGGGAAACCTATATCGACCAACACGTTCAAGTGGTTGGCAGCGTGTAGAGCTATATGTACAGTAGACGAGGATATCCACGAGAGATGGCTCTCGGTATTTGCTGACGATGAAACGACACCAGGCGGGGACGAATCATCGACGGACTGGCAAGTTTCGGAGGAGAACTTGTCTTGTTCCTCGCAGGGACAGGCTTCGAAGGACTTTCTGCCCCAGGGAAGTTCTACTGAACTTGACCAAGATGGACAGGAAACTTCGACGAAGACCCGCAGATGGAAGGCGAAAGCTAAGAAATTGCTTCCGAGACGATCATAACACCATGGTGATACCTGTTACATCACCGTTCTCACAGCGTCTGTATGCCTATGTATTGTTACGTTGGCGCGAAATGGGAGACTGTAGGCATCTTTTGTTGGTATCCTAGGAGTTGAGAAACGAAGGGGCACTCGTCCGGAGATCGGACACGGCGGTAGAATACACGTTAGGCGCATAATGGACAAGGAGCTGAAGGAACAATGTTTTAAAGACTTGGCGTAAGCAAACATTGTAGCCGAAATCATCGTTGTGAGATGTTGTGAAGAGTTCACCCGAGCTTACTTGGAGGAAGGTGCAGGCGCCACATGGCTGTGGCACGGCAAGCTGGACCCTGGAAATGTTATTTTGGTGACTGTTTCCGGCCCCGCAACGACTCATTCAGCTGGGCGCAAGACTCACCAACAACCCGTACACTTCAGCTGAGCTTAGCATAACGGCCTTAAATCGCTGTTTCTGCTCGACCATTTTCTCGTGATACTTGCACTTAGTTTCTACTCTCCGTCTCAAGTCAATTGGCACAACAGCTGCCCCTCGTACCCCACCACGGCCGACACCATGGCAGACCCCGTGGCGATCCAGCAGGAGATTGCTGACATTGAGAAGAGGATCGAAGAAGCACAAGCGCAACTCAAGGATGCAAAGTCAAGATTACAAAAAGCTCAAGAGGCGTCGTTCGTCAACCCTGGTGCGAACATGTCTGAGGAAGAGAAGATGGCGCTCATCAAGGTCAACTTGGCCGAGGTGCTGAACCCAGAGATCATGGACGAGGCGCTGAAGAAGCAAGGGCACTTGAAGGTTTACTGGGGTACTGCGACAACAGGAAGACCTCATTGCGGTTACGTATGTACACATCGCGAGATATGGTCGCGTGCACCGCTGACAACACATGTTCTAGTTCGTACCTATTCTCAAGCTCGCGCAATTCCTCGCGGCAGGTTGCCACGTCAAGATCCTCCTCGCTGACATCCACGGCTTCCTCGACAACCTGAAAGCTCCAATCGAGCTCGTCAAGTTCCGCGCAGAGTACTACCGCTACACCATCACCGCACTGCTCAAGGCCGTCAAGGTGCCAATCGACAAGTTGGAGTTTGTGCTAGGATCGAGCTACGAGTTGAACTCAGACTACACCATGGATCTTCTGAGACTTGCAAGTATAACAAGTGAGGCGGCGGCGAAGAAGGCAGGCGCAGAGGTTGTCAAGCAAACAGAGAATGCGCCTCTGAGTGGACTCATCTACCCACTCATGCAGGCCCTTGACGAGCAGTACCTCGATGTAGACGTCCAGTTTGGAGGTGTAGACCAGCGCAAGATCTTCGCGCTCGCAAAGGATGTCCTTCCCAAGATCGGCTACAAGGAGCGCGCACACTTGATGAACCCCATGGTTCCCGGTCTACAAGGAGGAAAGATGAGCTCTTCGGACCCCGACTCCAAGATCGACGTACTAGACGATGCGGACGTTGTGAAGCGCAAGCTCAAGAAAGCCCACGCCGCACCCAAGGTTGTCGAAGACAACGGTGTACTCAGCTTCGTCGAATACGTCCTCCTTCCCGCCGGCCACCTCATCTACGGCGAGCCCAAATTCGTTGTCAAGCGCCGCGACGCCGAGCCCCTCACCTACACAGACATCAAGAAGATGCAAGAAGACTACTCCAACGACATCCTTACACCTCAAGACCTCAAGCCCGCCGTCACCGAAGCACTCAACGCGCTTTTGGAGCCAGTGCAGAAGGAGTTCCAGGCTAACCAGGCATGGAAGGATATTGAGCAAAAGGCTTACCCACCACCACCTGTCGTTAAGAAGGAGAAGAAGGTCAAGAACAAGGGTACTTTCCACCCCAAGCGCAACGTAGAGGCCAAGCCAGATGGACATGTCGAGGGTGAGGACAAGGCCAAGGTCGATGTTGGAACTGAGGGCGGAGACAAGGCTATTGAGGGTCTGACGCTAGAAGAGAAGAAGTAGACGAGTTGGATATGAGGATTTAGTGATACCGCGTAGATGCAACATACCAATTGCATCCGCCACTTGTCTATGCTTAGGTGTCTTGGGTGATTATGACTCGCTGAACACTTGTAGCATGGCACACACCCACACACGTACATTTTGGTCTAACAATCCATAAAACTACTAACTTGACGACTTCCCAGTTGGCCACCCCTATGCACTAGTTACTCGGAGGAATATAACACCCACCCTGATTTCTCCATTTTTCAGCATACTTGACGCACTGCCCACACGGTCTCTTCAAGTCACACTTTCTTTTTTTCTGATAACAGGAAACACACCGAGAAGACGTGCCCTTTTTCCACGTGAAGCTATCGATGCAATTACTGTGATCTCTAATGATGGCACAGGGTGAACAGGCACTTCTGTCATCGCTCTTGCCGTCGCAATCGTTGTTGCCAGTTGTCAAGCACAAGAGGCACATCCTCACCGATGGAGCAGAAGCGCTAGTAGAAGTAGGATCGTTTGGTGGAGGTGTTGGAACAGGCGTATTGGGTGTGAAGAAAGGCGAATCATGTCTTAGCGGAGGCAGCTCGGATGTTTCTGTAGGCGATTGAGGTATCGGAGTAGGCGGATTGGGGCTTGGAATAGGAAAATTGAGTTGTTCGTTGGGTGGATAGACTCTTTGTATAGGCGACCTAAGTCTTGAGGCATAGTACTGAATATTCGGAAGAGGCGTGAACGTAGTAATATTAGCGACTGAGTTGGTTTGCGGATTGTTGGAAGTTTCTTGCTCCGAGGGGTGCTGTTGCTGCAGCTGCAGCTGCTGATACTGTTGTTCTAGCGACGGAGAGGCAGGAGTCGAATCAGTAGTGGATGTGGATTGTAATTCTTGAAACAATGCTGCTCTGAGTCTCGAATTGAACTCCTCGTCTTCCTGGAAAGATCCATCGGTTCCCAGCGTAAAGATATGAAATAATAGAAGTTCCTCCTTCTAGGGCAACATCATTCTTTCCTAAGACTTGGACCCGGACTAGAAGTCCGCTTTCCCACCCATGACCTTCGCCGCGTTGACAGCGCTCATCTTGTTTGCCCAGCCTTGCGCAGGAACAATCTTGCGCACAGTTCTGACTTCATCAGATGCGTAGCCAGGAATGCGAATGTTGTAATTGCGCTCAAGTATGACTTGGATGTCGCGAATGTCGAGCTGAGGTGAATCGCGAAGCTTGGACAGTTTGCAAGCGTTGCTAATGACGTTGTCGACAAAGTCATCTGCGAGTTGAAGAACAGCCTATACAAGATCAATGGTTAGAAATGTTTGTATGTAACAAATGAGACTTGGAGATGGCTTACCTCTTCTACCTCTGGTGTCAATGCCTCCTCGGATCCGCCTGTTACCTGCCGAACAAGCTCGTCCAGCTTGCGTTTACTAAGCACGCGGTCGCCCTCACCTTCGAGCTGGAATGGGGGTGGTCGTGGGATAACAGGTTGACCCATTGGGCCTGGCGCTCCGTTTGTGGGTCCGCTCATGGTAGGTCGAGCTTGTCCCATGTGGACGGCTTGAGGTGAAGTCACATTAAGATGGCGTGGGATTGGCATCTTTGGGTTGTTGAGCTGCTCGCGCTCGCGACTTCCAAAGTTACCACCCTGTCCGCCCTGTTGCATGGGCGTGTTTGTGCGTTGAGGGTCGGTGTAGGACCGGTTCGCGGCGCTGACTGCGGCTTGGTGCGAGAGAGGAACTGGCGGACCAGGCGCGTTGGACGCGGCGGACTGTGGGTGTGGTGAGTTGCTCTGCTGGTGTGCATTCGCTTGCATAGGGTTAATCTGGGGTCGCTGTTGTTGTTGCTGCTGCTGGTGGAAATTCTGTTGCTGTTGTCCTTGTTGCGAAAACTGCGGCATCTGATTTGGTGGCATCGTCTGCGAGTGAGGTGCTGGCGGAGGTCGAGCCTGCTGCTGCTGCTGTTGTTGCTGCTGCATTTGTTGCTGTTGAGGAAGCTGCTGGTTGTGTTGCATCTGTTGCTGCTGCGGCGGTCCTTGCTGAAGGTTTCCTTGATTGGCCTGCATGTTGAATTGCGGCTGAGGTTGGGACTGAGTTTGCGGTTGTGGTTGTGGTGCCTGCCCGCCCTCGATCTTGATCTGGGGCTCCTCTTTCACCTGGGGTTGCGCAGGCATATTGGGCTGTGAAGGCTGGCGCTGAGGCGGTTGTGGCTGTTGCTGCGGTGGTTGCTGCTGCTGCTGCTGTTGTTGTGGTTGTTGCTGCGGAGGTGATTGCGCTGGGTTCTGGCCTTGAGCTTGTGCCTGGCCTTGGGAATTCTGTTCGCGCTCCTCCTTCCACTGCTTTTGCATAGCCCTAAACTTATCAATTTGAGCCTTAATCTTAGCAGCCTCCTTCTCGATGTTGTTCTTCATCAAAAGCCGCTCCTGAGGTAGCTCCTGTCCGTTGTTCTGCCGTTCGGTCAACTCTTGGATAATCCTCCGTCGCTGCTCAGTTAACGTCGCTTGTTTGGCAAGCATGTTGAGATAACCAGTCCGATACTCCTTCAGTTTGTTCTCGTACTCGGGTGTGCCTGGCGTAGGTCCGTTTGTTGGTCCTTGCATGGGGAAGTCGTGAACATGCTTGACGATGGCAGGATCGACTTGGCCGCGCCCTGGATTCTGTCCTTGGTTGGGCTGCTGTTGTCCTTGAGATTGCTGGTTGGCTGGTGCCCCAGAACCTTGGGGTTGAGCCTGACCTCCTTCTTGCTTGACAGCGTTGGCATTCTGCTGGCCAGCTGCACTAGACTGTCCAGCTTGTCCTTGGTTTTGGTTTCCCTGTTGCTGCTGTTGCTTCATCTTGGCGCGATATTGACGTTCGCGTCCGATGAACTTTTGTGACCATTCTGTCAGCTTCTGACGCGCGTTTGTATTCTCCTGGCTGCCTTGCGGGTTGTTGTTGAAGATGGTCCAGAAGTTCTGCATGATCAAGCGATACTTCTGCTTCTCGTCTTCGGGAAGACATTGCAGCTTGAGTATATCATCAGGGCGTAGCAGCTGTTGACCTTGCTGCTGGCCGCCGCTGGCCTGTTGTGGCTGGGAGTCGCTCATATCGAGGGCAGCGGACTTCCGAGCCGTACGTTGGACGGTTGTGGTGTCGTATACGAGCTTTGGCAGGGGAAAGCGTAGATGGTGTGTCGCGTAGTTGCTGCGATTAAATTGCGTGTGGGTGGAGATGGGGGTTTGGTGTGTGAAGTAAGATGCTGGGAGTGGTGGAGGTTTGGAATGATGGTCAATGGAGCCTTGGAAGGCCAAGCACTCGGCCACTCCCATGTCGCGCGTTTGTACGACCGCACGTGCACGCGTCTTGCCTCACAACACAACCTTTGAAACTCTACAGCACATGAACAATTTCTGTAAAATGTTTCGATTATTTCTAATATATGACTAGGACTATCGCTCCGATGCAAAAGGTATCTCACTATTTTCAGAATCCGTCTTCACACTCTCGTTCTTTGCGAGCGCCCGCTCCCTGGTATTACGGACCTCCCACTCGAATTCCTTGAGTGCCCTCATCTCGCTACCAACAAACAACAACCCCATCAGTCCATCGATTACACCCACACTGAATCCTAGTGTGCTCAACAACATGAGTATGAAGGACACGTAATTCTTGGGTGACCACCAGACACCTATTAGACAGCCAATGGAGAAGGAGAGCTGGTAGAAGAAGTGGCCTATGCGCAGCTTGCGCTGTATCCTCTCTCGGACCTGGTACTTGAGTATGGTTGCAATGATCTCGTCGTAGGTCTCGATGGGCAGATAGCGTTCAGGCAGTGCCCATGGGGATAGTCGTATGGCTGATGGTGCAGTAGAAGTTCTTGTCAATGTCGCCTCGACGGAGAAGTGGTCGCTGAGGGAGCAGTGTAGCGTGGGATGACGCATGTCCATACCCACGTTTGCTTCTTTGAGCGTCCACTCAGCTGTTTCTTCCTTTGTCTCTGGATTGTGGTACCGGCCGCTACTAAAGAAGACATAGTCAAGTCGTTTCGCGTTTGGATCTGGGACCGTGGGATCTATCTGGACGTTCTCGCCTTTTGTGAGACGTCTTTGCTGCGCTTTGTTCCATCTCCAAGAGTTCAGCTCACTGTCGCATGTTGCGCCATTGACAGTCATGTTGTACTGGGCCGATGGCATTGGCACGCCGCGCACCTGTTCCACCTTGTCTTTAGCTGCGCCGATGGAAGAATCGGGATGCAGTATGCGCCACACATCTTGGACGGGCGAGTGTGTCTCTATGATACGGTGTGCGAGGGACAAGGGAATCATGTTGAAGTCACCCATGCCGATGACGAGGTGGCCGCGCTCGGCGGCTGCGCGCATGAGTTTTGTAATTTCCCAGGCTTGGGCTGTTCGATGGCAGATGTAGGAATCGTGGGGTTCGCGTTCATAGGGGGCGTGGAGCTACCGGAATCAGTACGTGTACTCTGTATACGAGAGAGGAACATACATGTGTACAAAACACCTCTGCAATATCTCTCTTGGAAGGACCCATCTGTATCCTCGCACATGCAACGCCCTTACCAACAAACCAATCTCCACGATAGAAGGCAGCAGGCCGTCCGTTCAATGGATAGCGCACCATGTTGCTCTCGACAATGGGCCATCGTGACAGAATGACCAAACCACCGCCGAAGATTCCGCTGTGGTAAAACTTGCCATAAGGCAGGATATGGCGTGTCTTCTCCCGAATGGCATGGTAATCTTGCTGCGTCCAGCACTCCTGGAGTCCTACAATGTCGGGTTGCGGATTGGCGGCGGCGATCTGGATACCAATTTCGGTAAGACGCTCATTGCGGAGCTTGGAGATGAACTTGAGCCCCCAGCAATTGAGGGACAAGATGCGTATGCTCGAAGGCGGTGCGGCGGCCATTGTGAAAGTCGGCGTGAGTTGAGTGGACGGGCTATGATGCAACTGGGGAAAATGTACCTGAGATGCAGGGATGCCTGCGCGCTAACTTCCCATTGCCGATCAGTCGCGTTTTCCCAATCCCCTACGGACCACCAAACGAACCACTTTGGGGGTGAATATGGACTCGACACGATCAACCTCGCCCAAACGACGACGCGAAGACGAAGACGGATACGACGACGGACGGCCGCGCAAACGCTCCGCTTCCCATGAACCGCCCAATGCCTCACCAAGCTATAGGATAGCGGAAAGACCCGCGCGCCGCTACAGCAGAGGAGACAGCGAAGACGAGCAGCGGGAATTCAGAGACAGACAGCCTTCATACTCTCCGTCACCATCGCGATCACGACGCTCAAGCTCTTCGTCCTCGTCGCCCCGACATCGCACATCCCCGCCCTCTAAACCGACCTCTCTACACTATGCGCCTACGCTCATCCTGCGCGGCCACAAGAAAGCCATATCGTGCGTCAAATTCTCCCCAGACGGCCGCTACATCGCCTCCGCGTCCGCCGACTGCACCATCAAGATCTGGGACGCCAAAACAGGAGCACTCGAACACACCCTCGAAGGCCACCTCGCTGGTATCAGCACAATATGCTGGTCTCTAGATTCCAAGATCCTAGCCAGCGGCTCAGACGACAAGAGCATACGGCTATGGGACACAGCAACTGGATTGGCGCACCCAACTCCATTCATCGGCCACCACAACTACATCTATAGCATAGCCTTCAGTCCGAAGGGTAACATGCTCGTCTCCGGCTCGTACGACGAAGCAGTCTATCTCTGGGACGTACGCGCCGCCCGAGTAATGCATTCCCTCCCTGCACACTCCGACCCCGTCGGCGGCGTAGATTTCGTCCGTGACGGCACTCTAATCGTCTCCTGTTCCCACGACGGCCTGATCCGCGTGTGGGACACAGCAACAGGTCAATGCTTGCGCACCCTTGTCCACGAAGACAACGCCCCCGTCTCCTCCGTAATCTTTTCTCCAAACGGGAAGTACATTCTAGCTTGGACCCTAGACTCGTGCATCCGCCTCTGGAACTACATTGAAGGAAAGGGAAAATGCGTCAAAACCTATCAAGGCCATGTCAACAAACAATACTCGCTGTCCGGAGCGTTTGGGACATACGGCGAGAAGGAGGATGGTGGGCAGCAACATGCGTTTGTTGCGTCGGGAGATGAGGAAGGGCAGGTTGTTTTGTGGGATGTTAGCAGTAAGAATGTGCTGCAGAGGCTTGACGGGCATACTGATGCTGTGCTTTCCGTGCATACGCATCCGAGTGAGGAACTGATTGTTAGCGCGGGCTTGGATCGGACAATTAGGCTTTGGAGACCGAATGAGGGGAAGCGAGTCAACGGAGTGAAGACAGATGATGACGAGGGCAAACCAAATGGCGAGGGACACGAGGACGTGAACGGCATCAAGGAAGAGGAGAAGAACGGCTTTGATCCTGATACCCTTCCGCCTAATCCTTTTGCTGAGGGTTAGCAATTCTTTGGCCAAGGAGACGATAGACGAGGATAACAAGTGATGATTGGATATGTGGTTTAGTTTTAGATACCCAAAGTAACTAGCCTTTGCTTGCTATTGCGTATCCTTCCCTATCCATTCTTGTGTAAACTGTCGTATATGAGAACGCCTTTAGCTACTTATGCCACGCTTTTTGGTATACCCCAACGCCCACCATGCAATAAGAAACGCCATAAAATGCACCACCCAACCTTTTCATACTTCCCATCGTCCAGCTTTCTAGCTAAAATGGATGCCTTCCTGATTGAACGCATACAACAGCTTCAAAAAGTCGCCCTCATCACACAACCTCGCACGCTTATCCGCCAATTGCGTCTCATCCTCGAGCACCTTCCTCACCTTCTCCCTGACCAACTCACTCAACCTCCCCTTCTTCTTCCTATTCACACCATTTTGCCTCTTCTTGCTCTCCGCCTGGAGCTGCTTGAAGAAGTCTGGGAGTTCATCATCCGGGTCATCTGGGTCAGAGAATCCCTTGAACTCATCGTCGACGTCCATCGTCTCCTCGTTATCCTCGGTGACCTCGGAAGGATCCATAGGCGTATCATCAATCTCGATATCGTTCTGAGCACACCAGAGACGATAGTTACTGCTCAGCAACTCCAAAACCGCAGCCGTACCCAGGAAACTCGCCCTCAGCGTCCTGTTCTTGCGCACGAAGCAGATGCGTAGCAGACCGTCCCACTCTTCGTATGCAATCTGTGGTCGTGGGTTCTTGGGCTCGATGCGCACGACGTTGCTCTCTACCTGTGGCGGGGGGTTGAAGTTGTTGCGTCCGACTTTCATTACGTGGCTGACTTTGCTCCACATCTGGACGTTTACGGAGAGTCTAGAGTAGAGCTTTTCGCCGGGCCGCGCGAAGAGGCGCATGGCGAATTCGCGCTGGAACATGAGTATGCAGCAGCGGGGTGGATGCTGCAGAGCTAGGAGCTTGAAAACCAAGGGCGAAGAGATTTGATAGGGCGTATTGCTTATGCAGACGTCAAAACGTGGTAGCTCGGCTTTTATTACATCGCCCAAGCGGATTGTGAGACGCTTTTCCTCGGGACTGCCTTGTACACGCTTGGTGAGCTCGGCGGCCATTCGGGGGTCCATTTCCACGGCTGTTACTTGTTTGGCGGCTTTGAGGATGAGGACTGTCAGGTTGCCTGTTCCGGGACCGACCTCGAGGACATGGTCGCTTTGCTTCAAGTGTGCTTTCTGGACGATGGCGGTTGCGACACCAGGGTTCTTGAGGATATGTTGACCAAGATCTTTGTCCATCTTGAAGATTGAGTGCGCAGCTGAGGCTTTTGCGGAAGTTGGGCGGGCATAGGGAGAGGCATTGTTGTCGACGGCCTTTGTGCGCTTTTGCTTTGCTTTCGGCATCTTGGGCGGTGGAGGTGGTAAAGGTTTCGGTGCAGGCGATTATATTTTTGGGGAGACTCGGAAGATCGCGATATGTCTAGGATTTCTTACGACGCGGTCAGGTGTGTAGTCTTGGTGGCTGCGGGTGTCGACCGAGCTTGCGATCGGTGGGCGTGGGCTGTTGGATCTGGAGACGATATTTTTTGGTGTTGCAGGCGGAGTTATCGCGGGGTTAAGCCATGTGAGCGCGCGACTTAGCGTTGCGCGTCTGCTTCTCATGACGTTGATGCGACTTTCACTGCATCCTCACAGCCATTTCGCATTCTCTACTATCCTCGTATGAGATCACGTTTCTTTAATCTTCCCCCTGATTGCTTTCACTCATTGCATCGTCACTCCTTGAAACCTGTTGCCATCAGTCACTCCCTCCTGAAATACCCATCGTTGCCGACGCGCTCCTTTACCAGCTTCTTCGATATTTGCAGTCCTTGCCAGCTTCGCAATCACTTCGGCACAGTAGTACCTGTTCACAAATACTTTAACGTACAATTTCCTCCTCCGTATCTACAGTTGCCCAATCCACGCTCACCAAGCAATGCTGTCAGGAGTAGCACCTTGAACTTTTCCTCTCACCTGCCACGTGCTCGCTCCTCTCACCTTTACCGTCGCTACGCGCATCTCGGTCCACCTGCTGCATATATAAGAAGCTTTTCGTCCTATCATTCCCGCCACTCTTCCACTCCACTCTCTACTTCTCCGGTCCCTATCACCTCAGCTACCTCGAGCACGAACACCGACAAGCGTCTGCCAACGCAAACCATGGCAAAGAAGATACCAACCGCTTCCCCAGACTCGTCACTCTCTTCTCCTCCTGAAAATACCGCGTCAGCTACCGAGACCGCTGCTGTAACCCAGCCAGCAGTAAATGGCAAGAAAAGAAAGGCCGAGACGACTCCGCGCACAAGGAGGAGTACAGCACAGCATGTCGATATCGAAGATGACGTTGAGGGTACTGGCGAGTCATCTGAGCCCAAGCGGCGCGTAACCAAAAAGGCAAAGATTACAGAAGAGATGGGAGACGAAGCTGCGGCCCAGGAAAGTGGTGACGGCGAGCGCAAAACGAAGAAAGTCGAGATGAGAGGGAACAAGAAGGCTGTCGCTACAAAAAAGACCGTAGCAAAAGACCACGTGATGGAGGGTGAGATCGATGCAGATGGTGACGGCAAGGTCACTGCCAAGACCTCTGTCAAGAAGACTGCAAGAGGCAAGAAGGCGAAGGCCAGTGACGAAGGTAACGACGTCGAAGACAAGCCAAAACCTAAAGCCAAAGCCAAGACCAAGACCGCAAAGATCGAGCCACCCCGCGCAGAGCGTACCAAAGACATTAAGCATCGAATCGGCGCCCATGTCAGCATCGCCGGAGGTTAGTCGCCATACTATCCTTTTCCCACACTCTGCAGAGAACCTTGGCTAACGTGGACTCGACAATCGTCGTTTAGGTGTACACAATTCCATCGTTAATATGGTATACATTGGGTATGTTTTGCATCTTCACTCACAAAATGGTCGAGTTATTGCTGACATTCACAGGGCTAACGCCTTCGCTTTGTTCATGAAGAACCAGCGTAAATGGGAGTCTGCCGCTATGGATCCAGAACATGCCGAGTTGTTTATTCAGGGGTGCAAAGACCATAGCATCAACGCTGCGGAGTGTTGTCTGCCCCACGGTTCTTACCTGGTCAATCTTGCTCACCCCGATCCTGTCCGCAAGAAGCAGGCGTACGACTCCTTCTTGGATGACTTGACTCGTTGCCACGCGCTTGGTATCAGGCTTTACAACTTCCACCCTGGTAATGCAAATGCGACTACTCGCGAAGAGGGCATTCGAATCATCGCCGAGAACCTCAACCGGGCGCACGCGGATCCAACAACTGGTAAGGTCGTCACCGTACTTGAGACAATGGCATCTCTCGGTAATACCATCGGCGGCACGTTCGCCGACCTCGCTGCCATCATCAATCTCGTCAATGACAAGAGCCGTGTCGGTGTTTGTTTAGACACTTGTCATGTCTTCGCTGCTGGCTATGATCTACGCTCGCCCGAAGCTTACGCCGAGACTATTGAGAAGTTCGATAAGGAGATTGGGCTAGAGTACCTTAAAGCCTTCCACGTCAACGATAGTAAGGCTCCATTGGCAAGTTACCGTGATATGCACGCCCGTATTGGAACCGGATACTTGGGTCTTCAGGCGTTCCACAACCTGATGAACGATGAGCGGTTCTATGGTCTTCCTATGGTCCTTGAGACACCTATCGACACCATTGACGAGAACGGCAAGAAGGTTGACAAAGGCATTGATGCCCGTGAAATCAAATTGCTAGAGAGTCTCGTTGGCATGGATAACACATCAGACGACTTCAAAGCGCTCAGTGCGCGTCTCCAAGATGAGGGTGCATCCGAGCGCGTGCGCGTTGGTGATCAAGTGCAGAGGAAGACAATCAAGGATGCTAAGCCGAAGAAGAAGCGCGCTGCCAAGAAGAAGGCCGAGGGTGAGGATGATGAGGACATGGAGGAATAGAAAACAAGAATTTGAGCTTGTGCTAGGCGCTACCGACAGGACGGTTGGTTCACGCCGGGCTGCTTTGCCACAAGCGACGGATCCGGTTCCAGTGTATCCTATTGATTGTTTGACGGGAGTTGGAAGCAAGTGTGGATAAGGCGGACAAAGATGGTTCGAAAATGCGCCAATCGACTGGATCCTGGCCTGGGCTTTCTTATGCGATACCCTGTTTCATTGTTCCAACGACATCTATTCAAGCGCATGTTTGGATACGTGCCGTGGGAATCTACAACTTATATCATGCACGTTTTACTGCCAAAGGATCACTTAGCTTCGGATCATACACCGTCCATGATGATTTGACATACGGGTCTCGTGAGAGCGTCAACATGCCGATGGCGCATGCCGAGGATGTGTGCCGATCTGTTGTGTGAGTCGTATTGGACCTAGAAAAGCTTACCTCGCGTTTACTGCCATTTGATCATTGGTCAGACACTCGTAGCAGGATCAGTAAGCGTGCATCCGGCCGCAGTAGCTATGGGTGTCTGAGCAACTTCTACGCCCCGACTTGACTAGGGCTGAGATTGACGTTGGGTGGATGCAGCCGACGTCTTGTCAGTGGTGTGCATGAAGGAGCGTTTCTGCCTTACGGATAGCCGATTTCAGCCAGCTGAAGTCTGCCACACTATTAGAATCGTGAGGAATCTTCACCGTCCCTGGCGATAGTCTGTCACGACCTAATCAGCCCTAGGAGCTACGGTCAACACACGGAAGCTACAAGCTTTACGCCTGTGGCGCATGAAGCAATGCCTGTCCAATGAACAGCATCGCTACTGCTTTGAACATCGCTGGAAGACTCATCTGGTTCGTCGCAGAACAGAGTCGTCATGTTGGTTGCATGAAGCCACAATCTTTTACGGTGTAGCAGTAATGTGAGGGTTGCTTGCAGTCCGTATAGCATATGATGGAGTAACATAAAGTAGGAACAGTAAGCGGACTGGAAGCCACAGCACCAGCCTACTGCACAGATAACAAGAGATACTAATGCTTTTCGGATGCGGATGCTTCCATGCTCCCTGCGTAGAATGATGTAGTTGTGTTCTAGTGGCTTGGCGGTCCCTGTCGTTCCTACGGTCTGCCTCTGGCGCACTTCACTACACACGATGCATACGCGGTCTGACGACATGTGCAACATACCCGACGAGCAGTGTTGCGACCACTTACAAGGAACTCACCAGCTGGCTCCTATCTGCATATCCTGGACTCATATACAGCTCACCCAATCATGTAAACCCCGCTTCCGACCTAGCCTGATCAGGCCCTATGCCGCGAACACGTGAGTCGTCGAGCTTCTTCTCCTGCCAAACCTCCACCGCCAGTCCAGGGTGTCAACGCCAGCCCTGTGGGCCCAAGCCTCGCCTGCAGCCACGGTATGGAACTTCTCCGAGAAGCCTAACGGGGGCAAGCGGCCTGCATACATCATACACAGCATCGTTCAACAGCCATATGGCCACCGACGTGCATTGACAGCGAGCGCTTCAGCTTCAGCTCTTCCTAGTTTTATTAATTTCTGCGCCTGGAATTTCACGCCATTCACTTCGCTTGCTAGCAGTCCCTACCAAGTGCATATGGTGGAAGCATGGTCGGTGTTCCGAAAAGCACTGGGTGCCTCATCTGCCGCAAGAGGAAGATTAGTAAGTGAACCATACCCCTCTTCCTTGCGGATATCTCCTGACTAAGGATAGAGTGCGGTAAGGCTAGCTCCACAAGACCGGCGCGACTCAAACGTTCTGACTAGTGACGATTAAGACGAGACATGGCCAGCGTGCTTGAACTGCCAGAAAAATGGAAAATCATGTCCTGGACCGCCTGCGCGACACACATTCAGAGACCTCGGTCCTAGGCTGAATGGTGGCGCGACGAACTTCGCAATAGAAGAGAAAGCCTCACCACCAGGTAGGTCTAGCTGGAATGAAAATGAGTGGTATGCTAATCACGTCACAGATCAACGAAATAGACATTTGACACAACTGAACGAGAAGTTTGCCGAAAATGGCTCGGTCACCCACAAATTTAGGATCTCAAACAAGAGCTCAACGACCCGGAGAAAAGCTTCACGATCAAGTTCAATTAGTTTAAGTCCCCCCAAAACGCCCTTTCTAAGACATCCGTCGCCGTCACAGCATCAGCAACTCGCCCGCGCCCTAATTTCGGCCACTACAACCGGCAGTACAGGACATCGGATGTCTGTCTTTGGTCCGTTCATCCAAGAAGTTCCAGCTAGGATTGGGCATAACGCAGCTCTCGATGCGGCCGTAGCCGTGTTGGTCAACGTCCATACTTCGCTGGTTTACAAAAAAGCCGCAGACGAGATTGTATCCCCAGAACTATATATCCGGGCAATCAAGACGCTACAGTCATGCCTCGAGAGCCCACAATTAGGCATGTCACCGAACACACTCTGCGCATCGGTACTTCTTGGTCTGGTTGAAGTAAGTCCTATCCGGCTGTTTCTTGTGACCATACTTATATGACTAGGCGTTTGCAGGCCCAAGAATAGGCAATCGATATCTAACGCACGTAGGCGGCGCAGGGCGATTAATGGAACTACAAGGACCCTCCAGGTACAGAGATACCTTCACAAAAGAGATACTACGCTTCAACCGAGGTGGAATAGTAAGTGAAAAGAGTCACAACAGGATAGTCGAGTCTTTTGGCTCGGAGGTTTTGGGTCTTCTGGCTGAATACTAACATATCGGCAGATCATTACATGCATATACGAGCGCAAACCATGCTTTCTCGCGTCTCCTGGATGGCGAGAAATCGCTTTCGACAAGACCGGCCTCAGTTTCGACGACTGCCTGAACACCGACCTAATGCAATACATGGCCGAATTGCCGGGCATATTTCATGCCCTGAAAGAATTAGGCGATCGATATGCTTCTCAACCGTCACAAGCTACGAGCTTCGATTTCAGCTCAAACGACGAATTGTGCAAATCACTTTCTGACACACCGCCATCCCTTGATTTTTCTACCGACTCTTTCGAAGAGACGGACTTTCTTGAAGACCTGCGGCCTATCAAAACCTCCTACCCGATCAATGCGAGTCCTTACACATACCCTTACGAGTCTGCGCGGACGACACTCTTGTACAAAGTATATAACCTCAAAGACGCTGTCCGCAGCCTAGGTGAGCACCTAAATGCCAAACTCACCAACGGCATCGCCATTTCCGAAACACCAGCTAGAGAAAAGAACAGCCCTATGCAAACAGCCTATCACTTCAACAACTGGCGCGACATGACTGCCTACAACTGCTTCTGGTCTGTCGTCATTCTGACGAATAAAGTCCTAATGCGGCTTCTACCACCTTTCGACCAATCGCGTCATGAACTGCAAGCGGAGTGTCGGTCAGTTGCGACTGAGATTTGTAAGACATGGGAGGATGCCTGGGCTGGCAGACCGATTGGTGCATTCCACACAGGCTTAAGCTTCGTCGTTGCGTACGAGTACTGCACGCCAGAAGTTCAGGCGTGGATAGTCGAAAGGCTGAACTCTCTTCTGGACTACCATCAGGTCGATGCGTTTCGATGGTCGGACGAAGTCATTACCAGCATGTCCGCTAAGCTTGCCGGAGAGGGACCTGATGTCGCGTTCTCGAACGTCAGGGTCTCGGAAAATGCACGATGAGTTGTACTTTTATCAGGCCTTCATCCGTCTAGGCTTTTCAATGTCTTTCCACTGATCCAAGCGCAACCCGAAGAGATCGAGATGCGTCGCACGGCCGCAGCCGATCAGAATTTGCACACCTCGGCACACAGCAGGTAAATGTCTCACTTGCATCTTACTTGCATGCGGCTACCAGATATCCGTCATCAGCCCTACACCTTCTGTGGGGGCAAGGAACCACATGGCTTTCACGTTGTGGTCCAGAAGCTGACCCTTTGCTCCGCATTTGTACCGGTCTAGCGGTGCAGGCAAGCCACGGCGGCTATCCTACAAGACCTTCATCTACTACCTCCCATCGGAAAAATCATGTCTTACTACCAGGGGATTCCAACACACCTGATCTAAGCCTCCTTGCTTACCAAACCAACTTCATCGTGTTGCCGGGACATCTTGGCCCCCACTACAGGGCGGGGTGACGGCCCGCGACCTGGTTTCGCACATCGGATGCACGATCAATGCAAGATCTAACAAGGAAGATAGATGAGGCTCGTTGGATAGCAAAATCAACCAGCTTTTATTGTTATTATTTTTGTCATACCTATGCATACATGGATGTATCTCAACATCGTGTCTGATGTTCAAATCAAGAAAGCAGTAAAACCAACATACTGTTCCTGCAAAACCATACCGTGCAAATACAAAGGCGAAGCCAGGGCGAAACGATTATTGAAACTGCAGCATAAGAAGTAAAGAGATGAAGCGGGAAAAAGCAAAAAGCCGTTGTCAACGTCTGCGCCACACGCGCTACTGCAGCAGCGATAGTAGCTGCTCAGCCCTGGTCTCCACCAATTTGACTGACTGCCTTAGGTCTGGATACCACACTTCTTCTTGCACTCTGCACTCCCAATAATAGCTCCGGTACCCACTGCAGGAATCATTTGGCCCAGGCTCTCGGTGTTGAGAGATGCATCGCCAAAACCGGCGCTAATGACATCTTGTGGGACGGTCCAGAGGCTGGGTAGGATATTGAGGGTACCACTGTCATCACTGTTGAGTGCGCTGAGGAGGAGAGCGGGTTCGCAATCTGTGATTGTGTTTAGTAAAGTGTACTATACGAAAGTATGTGACCGAGGACCGGGTAAAAGGACGAGTATATTTTGAGGCTGAGTGCCGCATCCCCGATTGGGTAGTAGATAGCAAGAGAAGAAAAGAAAAGAGTCAAACATACCATTGTTCTGCATCGTGTGCAGACTTCCTTGAGGGAAAATGGTAACACGCATGGGGATGAGATCAACTTTTCTGGTCTTGACTCCATTCTCCCCGATCATGTAACTCGTTGTGTTACCC